GAGCCATTGACACATCGCAGGAAAATATGGACTTTTAGGTCCGCGACTTGATTCACGTGTTGAACTTTGAAATCGTCACTGTCGTTGACATTAGGACAATTGACTATCGATCTGAAAGTCAAGCAATGAAATTAACAAATTAAATCAGATACTATTGTGACTTTTACGTACATTACATGACTAACATAAAGGTCATCCACTATTATTAAGCAATAATAATAAATTATCGTTTCGGACTAAGATATAACTAAGATATATAATTTGTTCAATATTTGTAATTAGGTGAATGGGTTAATCTCGGATGGTGCTGGTTCTAAGCTAGATTAAACTTAAATCCTCAAATAAAAAAACCCAAAAGATGCAACGAGTCGCATTGTGAGAACAAATAAGCCAACAGGAATTGGAGTTGGAAATGAACTGGGATATAAACCGATAAAATATTTCGCATCACTTGTCTATGGAATTTATATATTCTTTATACACGTATGGTCTTTTTTTATAACAAATTGGACTTGCTAATATGGTATCGGAGTCACGTTCTGTCTTAATTTGTTTTGTAGGACATGCGTTGTATTAATTTAAACTTTTGGGTTGGGGCTTTCGAGGACAGTAAATATGATGATCCAAGCTACAGGCAAGGTGTTGCATAATTTTCTCGAGAAAAGAAAAAGTTGATGCACGATTTTATCTTGATGCTGGAAATAAATACCATATGCTAGTGAAAAGGCGACCCTCCAATCTCTATCGAGGTTGGTCCAAACATCGTTTATTGTTTTGGCTCTTTGTCCAAACGTCTGTTTCCTCCTCCTTTTTTTTCTTACCTTTATTTTTTGGTCGCTAGTTTGTTTTTTTCTTACTTTTGGCGGCATCAAAGGAATGGGTGGTCAAAATTTGTTACCTTTGTCTTTGTCTTTTTTTCTATATTTATCGGGTGCCTAAACATAGTGTCGCTTGAAAAAAGCTCTAGATGTGGTCCGGGCACAGGTGAATAGTTGTTATCGGTGCGCAAGGTTCCCGGGTGGGTAGGGTATTACTCCATCCCGGAATCTCCACTGTTCGTACCGATTCCAAGTCCTAAAGGATCACGATACCACTTTGAAATCCGTCGGATCCACATGATTCAAGATATCATGTATGTATTACTTGGTCTTTTTTTGGAAAATAAAAATTTTCATTGATCGAAAAATTTGTAGCGATTAAGGTGCCGACGCGTTGAATATTCAACACCAAAACACAACTGAATTACGGAAATATGTACACGTTCACGTCACATAATGACATGATCATGCTACGATTAAACATCCAAAGTAGAAAAGATAGAGATAATTCAGCTTCGATCCATCATTTAACTTAATTATGAGCTTACACAAAACCCACCACACTCTACCAAGAGGTCGAACTAATTTTGCGTTATTAAATGTGAAAATTTTCATTCGAAAAAGATAAAGTCATAAATAATTAAATCAGGTGAGTTTGGTAATATAAATCACAATCTTTGACCATTGTAATTTGGGTTAATACTACAAAAAATCTCAAACTGGTATGCTCGCGCTACATCTACCCGAAACTAATTTTTGTATCACAAAAACTCCGAATTGGTATACTCGCATCACATTTACCCAAAACTAATTTTTGTGTAATAAAAATCCCAAAACCATGCATCCATGCCACATTTGCCCCAAATCGATACACCCGTGCCACATTTATCCCAAATTGTAGTAAATCTGAAATTTTTTGTGGGTGAATGTGGCACGATTATACTAGTTTGGGATTAATGCGACACGCATATGCCAAATTTGGCGTTTTTCATGTTAACCCTTGTTATTTGGATAAATCAAATCTGATAAGGTTTCCTTCGAGATTAGGACACTCGAGTTTGCGCGGTATCCAAAGCAGTCACCGAGAGAATAACAAATGATTGAATAACCCGAGTGAATTTCAGGTTGAAAGAAAGAACGAGCGGGCATTCCACGTTTAACTTTTGCTCCTTTTTTTTTTATCCTTTTCATCATATTAAATATTATCTTTAGGGTTGTGCACCTTGAGTTCTTGAAAACGTGCCGATAATGATGTCTAAAATAGGTCCACCAGTGGCCAAACATGTCCTTCGGACATTGATGGGGTCAAAGCAAGCCATCATGAAATTTCCGAAGGCAAACACTGCAAGGCTTCTTGCGAGCAGACCAATACACAATCTTTGGAGGATGGTAGATTCTCCCCTCAAATGCAAAACAAGAAGTGGAGATAACATCACCATTCGATGCATACTTAACCTGATCTATCTCCGATATATACTCGACTTGACTCATATTGTTAAAACATTTCCATATCTAACATAATAAAAGAAAATTCATAGCCAAACTGAAGTGAGCACACGGAGTAAACAAGAGCAAGATCAAGAGAGGGTGAAAAGAGAATCATGAAAGTGAGTTGGATTTAAGTAAATGGGTTTATGACCCATATTATGTTTAAACACATTTACCGAATATAACTATAATATATACGTTAATAAATGAGTTTATGACCCATTTTGATATGTTTAACTTTGGCTCGCCGATCTAGAAGAGAAAATGAAATCAAACGGTGCATAACGCCATCCCCAAACTTGTAATTCGTCGCTGCACGCATTGGGTCAGAATTATAGGATCACAGCGAACAAATTTAAAAACTCCGCAAATGACGTCACATGCTCGGCCAAAGTCCGAAATTATTTGTGTCATTATCCCGCGCAAGAACTATTGCAAAATTTATCAAACGATCAACATTTTTTTGTATTTTAAAAATGGATGGATGGGTGGGATTTGTTTACTTACCGTTTTTTTACGGACGAGGCAACAAAACAGCGACCAAATCCGAGGATCAATGGATGTGGGGGCGGTGATCTGTCGCGCGTAGGGCGTAGGGAGCATGGTAGCGGGGTGGTGGTGGAGGCGAGCATGAGCGTGAGCATGAGCATGAGCAAAGATCTCCACGAAGGCGCGTGGGCCCCGCGAGATCAGCCTTTTTTAATCTTTGGGAGCGTGGATCATACGGGACAGGCTGGACCATGCATCATGTATCGAAAGCCTGTCGGGGAATCTTCTTCCCTTCCTAATGAGGACCCCCCTCTCGCCGGATTACCTGTTTCGTGGTGCTCCCCGCCCTCGATTCAGGGGTAAAAATCCGTGGCCGCATTAGACATCGTGCTCTTATAATCTTTCACCGTTCAATCTCTTGAGCTGGGATGATGGATGGGACATCTCTTGATTTTCGATCCGACGGTGGAAACCCGAGATAGGCACGGTGGCTCTTGAAAGCCATGAGCTTATCTTTTGATTTCACAGACTTTTCCGGTGGACCTTATTCGACGGAAAGAATCTTTTACCGTTTCTTCTTTTTTTCAATGGAGACGGAGGATGTTTCAAGACCTTTATGATTGTGTCTCGCTGAAATCGGAAAAAAGCATGCATGCCCTAGACGTTTTTTTCCTTCAAATTGCTCGATTGAATTTGTAAACTTTATTTCGGGTGCAGGTACAATTTTTTTTTTTGTCTGTCCTACTCTAACTCTCAACTCAATGTTAGACTTTTGCCCTGCCTCTTATAACGCGTGGGAGTCGAAACTCACATCTGAGATTACACGTCCCCGCCCCTAACCCCCTTAAGAATGTGGGAAATCGAACTTTCTACCTCTCCCTTCCTAAGTATGAAATGTAGTTACTGGGGCAAACCCCAGTAATTGCATTTAGATACTTAAAGATTATGTTTTTGTTCCGTTTGGTTTTTTTCTTTATGGAGTTAATAGATGGAATTGCCGACGTCACTTACTGAGTGAGACTTGATGTGCTGGTTTGGCCTGTCGAGTCGATTACTTGTGTGACATGGACATGTTGATTTCCTCATTTGGAGGTGTTTTAGGAGCGTAGAAGTCCTGTTCCGTTCATCTCAATCGAGGGTGAAATTTCATTGATTCGAAAGTGAGTGAAGACTTACAGTACTCTCTACAAATAATGATTGGTTTACATATCTAGGAACGATGCCTCTCGAGACCAATGATTTCACCTGGTTCTTCATCTTTGCTACACGTGATTTACGATGATTTTCCTCTTAAGATAACATAGAGAGCATCCAATACTCTTTCGAACACCAAATCGATCCCTATCTGGCGTGACTATACTCAGTCATGCATATTTGATTATCGAGGATACATAAACTTATTTTTCATGCACGACGTGAAATAAAAAATGCTTGAACATGATGATTCGAACTTAGAAACGACTAACGGCGCTGGTTACACTCCAGCCCATCAAGGATTTTATCCAGCCAAATGCATCGATTTCTTCCTCTTCTTTCTTTCTTTCTTTCTTTTCTCGTTTTTGTCCCTTCGTTTCTCTTTCTTCCCTCCCCTGCTTTTTTCCACCGCGCTTCCCCCACCTGCTCTCAAAAGATACGGCGATGGCGGCTAGGCTGAAGCTCCCCCGCCCCGCGCGCACATGCCGGCGGTCAAGCAGAGGCGGAGGGACGGTGACGTCATCTGTATCTGCTCGGGAGGATTTTGGCGGGCCCCATTTCCAACCCCCCCTTCCCCCTCTCTCTCTCTCTCTCTCTCTGTCTCTCCCCCCCCTGCTCTTTCGGCTTTTGCCTTCGCTTCCGTCCAACACAATCTCTCTCTGTAATCTCCTCTCCTCCTCTCTCTCGTACAAACTCAACCCCACCCCCCACTTCGCACGCCTCAAATACCCTCTCTCTGTCTCTCTGTCTCTCTGTCTCTCTATGCATCTCACATTCTTTTCTGCCTCTGCGTCTGCAACTGGAAGGAAGGAAGAATCGGCTCGGGAGAGAGGTTGTGTTGGGGGATGAGGAAATCTGGTCGGATCTTGCTCTGTAGGATGTGCATTCTACTGGGTCTTCCTCGTATATCGACCCCGTGCTCTCTTCTTCGTCGCCCTCCTCCTCCTCCCCTGTCGTAGCGGCGGCGGAAGTGGAGGAAGAAGAGGCGCTGAACCCTCGCGAGGAGTTTCTCTGTTTTCTCTGGGAGGGGGGCCCCGCCAAAATGGGCACTGCCGCAGAGCCTCGGTTCCACGTCTTGGCCGTCGACGACAGCCTCGTCGATAGGAAGCTCATCGAGAGGCTCCTCAAGATTTCCTCTTACCAAGGCACTCTCTCTCTCTCTCTCTCTCCCTTCTCTCCCCCTCTCTGGCCTTTGTTCTTTCTCGGATGAAACGAAGAATGGGTTCTTCAAGAAGTTGGCTTAGCTCTTCTGGTTGTTGCTTTGTTTTTTTTCCTTTTCGGGTGTTTTCATATCTCGTTCTCTTTTGTTCTCACTTTGTTCAATTCTTCCTGTTGCCATTTGCAGTGACTACAGTTGATTCTGGCAGTAAAGCTCTGGAGTTTCTGGGTTCCCGTGGAAACGATGACCGAAGCAGCTCCGATCCTCTCCCGTCCGTTTCGCCGAACGATCATCAGGTAATGCGTGCTTCAGTTTCGGCATTTTTTCTCCCTTTCTTTCACTCGGGAGTTTTCTTTTTCCTGTCCATTTTTTCGATTTCCTGGGGGTTCAGCCGTGCGGCTCATTCTGACGTCCAATCAACTGATTAACAGGGAGTGGAGGTGAATCTCATCATCACGGACTACTGTATGCCCGGAATGACCGGGTTCGACTTGCTCAAGAAAATCAAGGTACGCCCTCTGGATTCTCTCCTCTCCCCTCTTTTTCATGATCACACGTATTCTTTCTTTCCCATTCGCGCTTTTTCTTTTCTTTTTCTCTTCTCTCTCGGTCGTCTTGTAGGTATCGTTTTCCTTTCCGGGAAAATTTGGCCCCAGGCGTGTCTTACCAGATTGATTGATTTGCTTTCGATAAATTGACAAAGTCCAGAAAGTGGCTAACATGCACGGGTCTGAATGTTTCTGTTCGTGGGTCCTTCCATTTTTATCTCTTTGCGCCCCTTTTTCCCTGCCCACTTGCTTGGGAATTTCCATGATAGTAATCTCCAAGAATATATTCCCTACCTGTTTTCCCAGTAATAGTAAAGGCTGACTGATCACCAGATCTGTCGAGCCAAGAAAACAAAGAAAAGCAGGACAGAACAGGGCTATCAGGTCTAATCCGCGAGAACCTTTTCTCTTTGGCAAACCCCTTTTTCTCCTTTCAGAATTCGAATGTCCCCCTCAAAATTGAATTTTCCTTAACTCATAGATAGCCTCTACTTTTCTTTTTTTTTTTGGTGCAGATTGAAAGTGCATTCTTTTACTTAATCCTAGAGAGTACTGGAAAGAACTGGTGTATGCAAATCTCATATGACTTGTGTTCTTTCGCAGGAATCTTCATCTCTGAGAGACATCCCGGTGGTCATTATGTCATCCGAGAATGTCCCTTCAAGGATCACCAGGTAAGAGCAGCATATACTACTGTAGGAAAGAGAGAACTTCCTCAATGTTTGTGCTCAAATGTTCCGGACTTTTGGGAGGACGGATGGTGTTTTGTTAACGGGTGTGTTTCATTTGGGACGATGCAGATGCTTGGAAGAAGGGGCGGAGGAATTTCTCCTGAAGCCGGTGAGATTATCGGATGTGAATAAGCTCAGACCCCACATAATGAGAACCAAGAAGCTCGAGAATCCGAAACAGGAATCACGAGAAGAATCAGAGGGACATGGTGAGATTCGATCGCAACCACCACCGTGCCAACATGAACTCGAAACCCAACAGGGTCAACACCATCAATCCCAGCAGCAGATTCAACCACACCAGCAACAGAAATCCAGCAATAACAACAAGAGAAAGGCCATTGACGTTGAAGAAGGCCTTTCGCCCGACAGAACAAGAACCAGATACAGCGGAGTCGCCACTTTCTGATGAATCACTACACACCCTTCAATTTTTTTGTGGCCATGTATCTTTTCACTAATTTTCTCCTTCACATCCCATTCCTGCTTACTGCTGGAGCATACAGATCAGAGAGAAGCGCTGCAGATTTTCTTTTTCTTTTTTTTTTTGGCTTTTTTCAGGTATATAGATCTTAAATGAAGTAGTTGATTCACAGCACACCCCTTTCTAATCTTGTCCAATCTCAATCCAACGAAAACAAGAGTTATAGAAGGAAACCACATGTGAAACTTATGCTATGTTTGGGAACAAAGGGGCGAAGAAAATTGGGGAGGAAAAATGCTACAAAGTTCAGAAAATTACCCCCAAATTTATCTCACAACAGTTTAAAATTTCTTTTAAATTTCCACCCAAATTAAGTTTTTGAGCTACATGGTCAAGATTTTAAGCGAAGTTTACCTCAGATTAACATGCACCAGAGCAAGGATAGTTTGCATCAACACATTAGACCCCACAAAAATCCTCCTCGTATGCTTATTAGCAAGTCAATGGAGTCATTATGTCGAAAATTCCAAACGTGCATTAATTAGCCTTGTGCTACCGGTCACCACCGTTACACGAACTATGACACCACCAACCAAACTTGGTTCGAGCACATAAAAAAGAGTGAGAGCGAAATTATAAGTTTTCCAACCAAACTTGGTTCGAGCACGTAAAAAAGAGTGAGAGCGAAATTATAAGTTTTTCGTTTGTTTTGCAGAAATGAATGATTTAAAATAATTTTTTTTAAAAAGTGATCGCTTGAAATAATTTAGTCAATAAAAAATGTTATAATTATTTACAATAATTTATATTTATATTTTCACGGACGGTAAATTTTTTTAATTTACTTTTATATATTTAAAAATCTACATAAAGTGCCAAAAGAAGTATCAATAAGGGGTATGCCTTCGCTTCGGCTCAACTTTGGAACTAGACCGAATCGGCCTTACCTGGTAGGTTCAAGGCCGGTTCGCACAGGAATCACCGGTTCCAAAGATTTCTAACGGGCTTCGCTAATCCAAATCTTGATTCAGGATCTTGAACTATTGGTTCTACCCAGGGTCGAACAAGTATTGATCGACTTGCGAGCTTCTTAATTTGTGTTCTTCCTCGTTTGTTCGATCATATTCGTGTGTTTCTTTCCAGTTTTCAGTAACGATGTCATTTAGACATGCTTGGTTTTCGCTTAGTGAAAGTTGTCGGACCGTGATTCTTTGAAATCGCCAAAGCCAGCACAGTTCGATCCACTTGGATATGTGATCTTCGAATCCTGACCGGGGCCCTTCTTCCCGTTCATGTTTAACATTTAACATTTTGATACAGTCTATGGACTAAATCGAACACGTGTTAAAAGTTCAATGACCACAATGAACAAATTAAAAATCCGGGGACGAACATTGCACATTGGACTAAAGTTCAGGGACCAAATTGAACAAATTTAAAGATTCATGGAGAAATCGCCAAAGCCAGCACCGTTCAATCCACTTGGATATGTGATTTTCGAATTCTGATCGGGGCCCTTCTTCATGTTCATGTTTAACATTTAACGTCGTGATACAGTATAGGGATTAAATTGAACACGTGTCAAAGGTCCAGGGACCACAATAAACAAATTAAAAGTTCGGGGACGAACATTGCGTATTGAGCTAAAGTTCAGAGACCGAATTAAACAAATTTAAAGATTCATGTAGCACATTGCACGTCGAGAACATCAGGAACCATTTGTGTCTAGTGCTCCGACTTGGGACGATATGTCGGAAAATCTCAATAGAAACATTTTCTTCTTAAAGAGAAAAACAGCGATATCGCAATATCCTATTAATTAAAAGATGGCGTTGTCAACACAGAAGATCAAACTTTCGCCGCGGGCATCCCACGGAATGGACCGTGACATTGACAATTTACAGCGGCTGCGCGGAGGCGAGGGGAGGGAAGGCTGCGTTGACCTAACTTGACCTCGATCCCCACGTGGGCCGCACTCCCTCCCTCCACGTCCGTCCGACGTGTCACGCCTCCCCACTCTCCAATATATATATATATATATATGCGGCTCCTTTTTTTTTTTTTCCTAATTGGGTGCAATTTTTTTTTTAAAGAAAAAGCAAAAAGCAAAAAAAAAAAAAAACACTCGCCAGACGCGGACAAAACACAACAAGAACCGTACCGAACCGAACCTCCCCCAATTGCGTCACCGAAAGCTTTTGATCACCCCAAAACAAATTCCCTCTCTCTCTCTATCTCTCTCTCTCCCCACAATCGCGGCCGAAATCCGAGTTCTCTCCGCCGCGGATTCGCCGGAAATCCTCCAGGTGAGCTCCGATTCCGGCTCCTTCCTCCTCCGATCCCGAGCTCTGTTTGCTCGACGGTTCTTCCTTCTCCTTCTCCTCCTCCTCCTTCGGGAAGGTCTTGGTGCCGTCGTTGATCGAACGCGTCCCGGCGAGATGCGCGGTGGGTTTGTTTCTGCATTCGTTCGTGCATGTTTGGGTGATTTTCCTAGTTTCTATACTCGTGCTGGATTTCCGGTTTGCTCGGCGTTAGGGTTTTAGGATTGGTGCGGGCCGTTGGGAGGGGGGGGGGGGGGGCTCTGGGGTGGCGAGCGCGAGCTCCTCTTGATCCCGTGATCGGGCGCGTTCTGAAACCCTAGGGCTCTGTTTCGGTCGTCGGGGGGTCGTGTGACCGGGATCGGATTCCCTTTGGCTGAGGAGAAGTAGGCGAAGTGATGGCTTGGTGAGGGGTTTTGGTTGAGTGAGCCGTTTCTAGCTGGAACGAAAGCCGATGATCCGGTTGGTATCGGAGGCTTTATTGATGGGTTTTTCCTCGTTCTAGATTTTTTTGGCGAGCTGTAGTAATGGTGTTACGGCTTTTTCGGGTTTTGGAGATTCTCTTCATGATAGCAAGTTGTGTGAGTTTATGGATTCTAGATGAGTAGCAGAGACAAATTACGGAAAATCGCATTTTCTCGCGTTCTCGTGAAAGGAAATATCTTTTTCTCGTCCGTAGAGAGTACGCATGCGCGCTTAACAATGCCTTTATTGCGACTTAACTTTCCGAGTTAATCTAAACCTTTGCCTTTACACGTCAACGATAATTTTAAGATGATGATTTACCCTCGGCGATATGTTCTGTGATAATCCCATTTCCAAAACAGGACCGAACGCAATGGGGCTGGAGAGGATTCATTCCACTGAGTAGGATAAGGTTCTTGTTGATGTAATTTGTTGTTTGAAAAGAGTTCTCTGTAATTTTGGATGCTTGACAGACAGAATCGTGCCAATGACCCAAATGAGTTTCGGCATTAGAAGAAATAAACCATTCGAATGATTCTCCTGACCTGAACTTCTCGAGTACATTCATTCACACAGTGCACGTGAAATGTCTGGAAAACAGGAAGCCCTACAATCAGCAGTTACTACGATTATAGAAAAAAAAACCCTTTATTTCAATTTCTGTTTTTTTAATGCTAAGTTAATCATGTCTTTATGTACTATATTTGTACTTTTTTTCTGTTTCGATGAAGGATTTTCCCGTTTAGTTGCCTTTGTTGCGACATGTGATAATCCAGATCTTTATCTTCTGTTCGGAGAATTTCCTCTGGACGATGATTTTTTACATGATTAGATGCAGTTTCTGAACATTTGGATGTTTTTGCTGCCATCATTATTACATTCGAGAAATGCTGTTTGTTGCAATCAGCGTCCCCTTGTACTTCATATTGCACATTCTGCTTATATGATTTGTTACTGAAATGTGGATTTTTTGCTCTCCTGCATTTGATTGCAGTTTTCTGCTCGCTGACATATTGTAATCCTAAGCTGAACATCTGAACTTTGTCAGTCATTCGATGTGGCTCTAGGAGACAATTTCTCCAATCTGTACTTTACTTTCTTCCCGTAGGCCCAGAATCTTCAAGCATGTCAAGTGGAACAGATAGGAGAGTCTCACGTCAAGATATACAACTGGTAAGCGGGAAAATGAGTTTTCTGTTCTTGCGTAATCGATTCGTCAAGTTTTTATATCCTTCACAGAATCTTGATATAGAAGTCTGACCTTTTTCTGTTTGTTGTTTCTTTCTTACAGGTTCAAAACCTGATCGAACGGTGTCTACAGCTTTACATGAACCAGAAGGAAGTTGTGGATACGCTGTTGGAGCAGGCGAAAATTGATCCTGGTTTTACAGAACTTGGTACCTAAACTTTTTTATTTCATTGATTGTTATATCATCATTTGTTTTACTCGAATCACGTAGGCATCGTGTAAAAAACATCACGCTATGCCAATCAACAGCATTTTGTTTATATTTTGGAAACATTTGTAGCGTATCTTGAGAGCATTAGGTGATATGTTGTAGACATTTGTAGTGTATCCTGAACATAATCAGACGCGTTTGCATGTGCAAAATTCTTTATAGCTATTGGTTTGGAACGATGAAATGGTTAGACTTGGACCTAAAGTTCCATCAAGATCTAAGGTGCCGATGAGTTATTTATTCTTTATGGAGAATTGTTTAGGGAAATACTGTGAACATCCCGAGATGCTTTTACTCATCCCCTATAGGCACTCAAAGGAAACCCCTTGTTTCCCAAAAATTTTCAGCATGTGTGAGAATTTAACTGGATGAATGTCACACCATCAAAGTTGAAGTCCAAATCGTGCAATTAAAGTATTAGGGATATTCTTTCGTCATGAAAGCTCTTTCATTTCTTTCCCAGGCAGGCAATATGTAATTTGTTATTGGGGGCCGGGGGGGGGGGGGGGGGTTAAATGTAATCGAATGTCTTTCTTTCCTTTACTGAATATTTCCAAGCCTGCTACTTGACCGAAAGAGAACCTGGCAAATAAATAGTGGGGCTTGCAAATGATGGTTCCTGTTGCTTCCGTATGAAGATGACAGTAGATAGACATGGCCAGGACCTCTCCTTTTGCTTATCTGTAGTTAGGGATACCCTGTGTGCTTTCTGGGGAATGGAGACCAACTTAGTCAGCTTTTCCGTGTTCTTTTCCTGAAAATTAGGGCAGAGGAAAGTACTTTTTTGGCTGAGTTATCTGGCCTCTCATAAAGTACTCTTGCTATGTTTTCCTTGAGAATATTGAATTTG